GCGAATGCGTCAAATTTAAATTTTCCGACACTTATTAACAGTAGCTATATAATATTTTTCAGAATGTGTCTTAGACGAGAAATTTTTAATTAATTATTAACGGTAATAGTCTAAAATGCGACACAATTGTTAAAAAACATCAATATAAATAGGATTTCATGTGACATTTGGGACAAACAACAACATAACCCAACTAAATTTGATGTCAAACAAGGAGAGAGACTCTCTGTCCTTGTTTAATGTAGCCTCTAAAGATCGCACTTCCTGTCTAACAATATTTTTGCCCCCACTACCTTTACACTCCCTCTTTTGTCTTTTTGCTCGATGGACATCATATAGGTATATACAGTACAAATAAAGAACAAAGACAAGAACGATTTTCAGAAAAAATTGCCTACACCTTAAGTTATCTTGTAAAAATAATAGGACTTTTCATCAGAAAATAGTGTCAGCCATTTTTTTCGTACAGTTTTTTTTTGGTAAAAAAAACATGTTAAGTCAGTAATAAAGATAACGTTTAAGTGCATGAAAACACTTTAAAAATAAAAACTCTTAAATAAAGTCTAAAAATAAGAAAAAAAATGTCTGCAAAATTTTTTTAATCGATTATTATTCTGATACCTGAACGAAAAGAAATAATGAATAATCCCGTTATGTAAGAGTGATACATACAAGCTAAAAATCATTTAAAAATAATACATACATCTTTATAAATTTTCCAAAGTGTTTATTTCTTTATAAACAAAATTATTTCTTTGTTAAATAAAAAAAAAATATTTAATAAGTAGTTTATATAAATTTATAGACCAGTGACGTATGACATATAATATACAGGGTGTTCCAAGATGTTTTAATAGCCTATAATTCAGGAAATAATAAATATTTTTATTTGAAAAGAGGGAAATGTTAATTGGACCTACAATACTATCAATTTCATGTATACATAAGATCTGTGACGTCATCACGGGCGGACTAACCTTCATTGCCATAATGCAAGTGATGATGCAAGACACTCATGACTTTTTAAATAGAATTTTGTGGTGAATTTTAATAGGTGTTTAATACGTTCATATTTTTTTGAAAAATATTTAAATAGCCAAAGATATCTGAATTCTCTGAAAAATGAGTTACCTTTGTTCCTAGAGAATATTCCTTTACGCGAAAGAGGAGTTATGGTATGGCAACAAGATGACACACGATGACGAAATTTCCCAATTTTCAAATAAAAATATTCATTACTTCCTGAATTATAGGCTGTTAAAAACATCTTGGAATACCCCGTATAGTATATGCCATTGATCAAAACTGCACGCAAAACGTGGTGGCTGATTAAAAGGCCTATTGTTTTCTATAACTGTATCTGTACATTATTCTAACAAGCCGGGAAGAAGAAGTAAACAGAACGGTCAAAAAAAGAAAGTTGTACCTTACGAGGAAGAAAATTTGATTTTTCTTGTAATAAGTACAGTATCTTTACTGGTATTATGAAAGTGCCATTTACTTGATACATATCAAGTAAATATAGAATATAGAACACAGAATATATGTATAATGCAAAATGTTTTGTACAATAATTTACACTCATACAAACAATTTATATGTTATGTATTTTTCGCTATATAATTTATGATAAATTCCGCATTCTTTAGGTTATAATGATATAATGCGAGTAAATTAAAAAGAAGCAGAAGCTAGGGTGGATGCAGAATCTCGTGCCAGAAAAATATAGGTAAGATAATGCCAAACATCAGTAGAACTATTCAGATATACTATAAATAAATTTATAGCTCAGAATCAACGCCACTGTTCTTAGATTATATATTAATTCAATAGGAATACACAGGAAATCTAATTATTTATTCAAAATGGCCGTGTCAATGATTTTTCAACCAATAGGCAAATGTTAATGAGTAAAACAAACATTCTACAAATATTGCTGCTTGCTTAGCAAAATAAAAGTTCATTTTGAATGAAGTTCACGTCATATCAATGTCAAGTACTTTCACTTCTTACATCTTCGTTTGATGGTTATCTACTGCTATAACTGCTTCTAAATTTCTTCTCTTTTCATTTCATGCATTAATGTCTACACACAGTTTCGTATCTGCCAAAATATTATTTTCTTCATCGATCATACTTCTTTTTCCGGAATGTAATTGTAATGTGGTAATGTCATGTTATACGTTTGAGCGTTTGTGTCCAAAGTTATGTTTCAATTGCAACACACCCATCCATAGGAACTGTAATTGTAAATTTACAAATTAGACAAGCCTGATTCTACATATCTATGTCAGCTTCATTACCCCAATATTGGGCATAAATCTTTCCTAATTTCTTCAATTCTTCTCCGCTTTTTGCTATATTAGCTATATTTCGTCGATTTAGGTTTACGATTTTTTTTATTCTATCTGGCCATCACGTTTGTGCTCTTCTTTATCCTCTCCTATTTTTGTTTTTTTTATTAGCTTTTGGCTATTACTACTATAGCTATCGTACCCATACTTTTGATGATTTAATTATTATATGAACATGTTATGCCAGGTTACTGTCTTTAATATTATTGATGACCTCCGTATTTTGACTACATTATTCGTTTACGCTTTCGTTATATATCATTTGCATAAATTTTCAAGAATCAAGCTTATTCAACAACCATTAGTCCAAAAGACTATTCTCACTATTGACTTCATTTTTGGCAATTTCGGCGGCGACAGCAGGTGAATATTTTCATTTTTTCTTATGGTTCAGTCTTCCGGCGGAGGTTACCAATCATTACAGTAATTGAACTACCTTGAACAGCAGCTCATATACTGCCTTGAACAACTCAATGGAGATTCAGCCAAATCATTCACGGAGGTTTCTTAATCATTAGATTCTTCGTCTTTCTCTCGATCTTATTTTCTCTCTTTTACTCTGCATGATCAATACTTTCTCATTTGTTTCACGTTTCACCATATTTCAAACGCTTCTAATCTTTTGATGTTGGATCTTTTTAAGATAAAAAATTCAGCTCCATATAATAACAGTAGAGGGGACGCAGCATATGGTCATTTGGGAAAGATAGAAATGATATAAATTTTATAAACGCAAATCCTGCTATTTCGATGCACCTGTCAATTATTATGGTTTGATTATGGCTCTACTAGTGTTTTCCTAGATATTGATAATTATTTTCTCATTCTATAATATAATCATCCATTTTTAATCTCTCTCTCTCTCTCTCTCTCCCATGGCACTACAGCCCAAACTGAGCCTTGGCCTCCTCACAACTAGACCTCCCACCTTTCCGGTCCTTCGCCGATGTTCTCGAAGATTCTGACATCTAGCAAATTTTGTCACTTCATCCTCCCACCTTTTCCGTGGCCTTCTTTTTAGTCTTGCATCCTGAATTTTACTATATAGGGTTTTTTAGTCAATTTTTTGAGCCCATCGAAGTTTCTGAAGTTTAACGAGTTCTGAAATCGGTACCTTTTTGAAGAGTTGGTAGAGTTTTTGGGTTGTTCCTGGATCTCTATACTCCATTGTCGTTAATAAGTGCAAGTATCTTCCTTAAGAGATTTCCTTAGAAGACTTCCAGCTTTCTTTTTGTGTCTTCTGTCATCACCCACGTTTCGCATCCATAACATACTATGGGTCTAATTAATTTTTAGTTGTAAATTATATTATTGTCATTAGTAACGATTTTACTTATAATCATTTATTTCGTTTTTTTTTTCAGTTTCATGTTTAGCTCATAGTGCTTGCTGGTTCTATTTGTTCGTTAGTCTTACAGGTTGCATTTACAGAAATTCCCGCATTTCATGTGATTAAAACTTCGTTAAAAATATACTAAATATATGAACATTTAGAAAGGAAAAATTTTATAAGACGAAGTATGAGACACTATACTAATATCACTTCAAGATGTCAGCAATGAATAGCTATACTCCCTTATTTTAGAAATATTACCATAGAAAAACTATTTGTACTGAATACTCTGTTGCAAAAGTGTGGTGATCAGAGGAAAGATATTTTTGCGGATTTTGTGAATTTCGATGAAACATGTGAAACAGTCCAACATGTAAAATGAATGGTTAGAGTAAAAAACATTAGAATTAAACACTGAAATAGAGTAGATACCCGAGGAAGATTATTGATGAGTGACGACAACCCTTCTACGTTGGATCCCCAATCACCGCGCACCGCCAAGAAACCCAGGTAACGTGTCTCTATACACTTTTCTAACGAAAAATTTAATTTTGGTACTGGTCACGAAGAATATTTATGTTATAATTATCAGGGAGCAATTTTCTTATTAGAACATTTTATTAATCACTACTTGCCTTGTTCTTCATCTCAATTTAACATTCAATACTGGCATCATGTCTATCAATGATTTTACTTTATTGTTAGTGTCCTTATGGTTAGCAGTATTAATTGATCAGTATAACTTGGCACTTGCAATATGCAATAAAAAGCATAAAGAAATCCTTACACACCATTGTTGTATATGAACAACTATTTTAATTACAGCTGCAGTGACAAGTTACACTGGTAAAAGTACAATTATATAACAGTGTATTTGGTAATAAAAATAGGATATTATGACGGAAAATCTCTTAAAACTACAAGTCGTGTCCGTGAAGTGACTATTATTTATAATGAAACTATGTAGTATCTAAAATAAAATATTTACAGGAAATTCAGAATGAATAAACATAAGAGATGCCAATATCACAGCATTGTTGCAAAGAGAATAGTCAATTTAGTTAATACGTCCGCAAATTTCCAAAACATTTGATTTCATTTAAACATATAAGAATTATTAGTCTCAAAACGATCTCTCGTAAACAGTACTCTACAAAAATTGGACTTTTATAGTATTTTTGTTTATACCGGTTCATATGAAATAAACAACCGAGATACCATAAAGACACACTTCAGATTAATACTGTATTATAGTTTTATAAAATCAAATGTTCAAGAGTCCTTTTTAAAAGAGATAACAAATTATAGTCATATCACCAAGGTCTCCACATATCAGTAGAATCGGAAGCATCTTTAGAAGTAGTTGTCTCCTGTTTAACTCTCCTTGGATCCGCGTCCCCAGAAAAACTAGAGGATGGCTGACAATCTTGAGTCAACAATTGAGTTTTTATTATTTTGGGAGCAGGTGGCTGAAAGAAGTTATCGTTGGAGACTGTGAGCAAACCGTGAGACTCTTGGTATTTACGTTTAACTCCCTGAATAACGTTTTCTTCGTAATTTGCGGATTCTTCTTTCATTTGAGCTTGTCTGTACCGTTCCCCCTGATTGGTAATTATACAAAGAGGCTCAGCAATCTTCTTCGGAGAATCAATTTTTTTACTAATTGGGTACTTAACGATTTTCAATTCAAGAGGTTGTGTTGCTGTAGAAGATATTTGGGGAACTTGATGCTCATCGTTGAATGTTCTGGTTGTTGGTACAACAGGTCTAAAACCTTGAGGTGATCGACATCTAAGCCTTAAATCCTCTTGCATCATTGGGCTGACAGGAGGACTTAAAGGTTTAGGTATTTCTGTTGAAGAAGGTATCACAGTAGCAAAGGCGCTCGATCGCTGACCGCTAGGAAAAAAGTTGATGTTTCTAGAGTTTGGAACAAGAAGAGCAAGTTCTCCACTTGGTAATCTGCTCGGAATCAATTGTATACCTTGTGGTATTTGTATCCTCGGATTATTATTTTGATCGCCAGTGTTCGTACTTGAAATTTGGGCAGGTGTGGGTCCAGCAACCAAATTGAGATTATTAAATCCTCCAAATGAGAATTGCGCTACCTGCTCAATACCACCAATGCATTTCTGAAGGTGATTTACTACTCTCAACTTCATAGAGTTATCTACACCATCTGTCTGATTCATATACTTATCTATTTCAGCCGCACATTCATTAAATCCGGTTTTAAACTTTCTTAAAACTGAAGGATCTGAAGCCATAGCCATTGCTAACTGTTGGCGCTGGACGTTTTGCAGATGTTTCACAGCCATTTCAAGAATATCAGCTTTTTCTAATTTTGTGTGACGGGCGGGCTAAAACAAAAATGTCAGAATTAAAATTTATACAGAATATAAGGAGTATTTAAACATTTTATCAACATACATAAAGTACATAATACTCAAGTAAATTGCCAATTGTGCTATTTGGTTGTGGATCATGTTCTATTCCTCTGATTGAAATGCGTGAGAAAGTGAAAATGACAATCAGAGTAACTGCGAGGGATGTAATAAACGTAAAAAAGAAAGGGAGGAATGCGAAATGAATTAAAAGAAAGCAAGAGGAAGCGTACGTAAGATTAAAATCGAATACAGTTTTTTTGGTAAATAGAAGGCTCTTTTACCAAGGATCTTTAGGTGATAGTTATAGGATTTCATGGAACACAAGTTAAAAATAGCATACACTTACAATAATATTGGCCTAATTGCTCAAGACTTTGTATAGCTTATGAAACTGCTGTTTGAGTCAATTAGAAATACGTGATAAAAAACCGATTACTTGAAAATATGATTGACCTTAAAGAAACTCTCTTAGGCCGCAGATTGACTCGTATAATAAAATCTGAATCTGAATAAGAAATAACGGAAAATAAGGCATACTTTACTAATGTAAAGCTACGATATAGGTGACGATCCTGGATGATTATAGCTCTCGATAATAATTGTAAACACAATTGAAAGCTCGAGTAAAAAATAGTTTTAACAAATAGCCCCTTTTATTGACTCCAACCCATCCAAAACAGTATATATATATATATATATATATATATATATATATATATATATATTATATATATATATATATTAAATATATATATATATATATATATATATATATATATATATATATTAAAGAACTTATATATAAAGAACTATACTTACATCCTTATTCATGGCTTCTAAAATAAGAGTCTTGATTTCATTGAGACAATGGTTTATTCGAGCTCTTCTTCTTTTTTCCATTATCGGTTTATGGGTTTTTCGTAACTCTGCTTTGGACATGGTGGACTGAGGTTCTCTTGACCTATTGTAGTCTGTTTCGTCTTCACTGATGGGCATATTTTCTTTGGATTCTTAGACACTAATGAGTGTTAGACTGTAATATAAGCAAATTAAATTAATACGATGATAAAGAATGATAAAGAAATGTTTTTTTCAGTTTAGTTTTGTACAAGGGAAAAATGGATTAACAAATAAATTAATTAAAATAAAAGAACAAGTTATAGAGTAAAAATATACAAAAGATACAGTTCGCAAGGCATTGTTAAGATATCAAGAGATAAATAAATTGTTTTTATAGTTTGAAATAATCTCTTTTTTTTTCTCCTATATCTCCTTGAAAAATTTGTATTAGTAAAACGACGACCTCAGGGCCTATAGCGCCTGCTTGAAAAGATCAGTTAAAGAAAATCCATTCGACCTATAAATCAACATCACAAAACGAATATATTAGTAGTGAATCTGACTCAGAATCGACCAGCACGCGTAAATGTATACGGTACCGAGATAACCAAAGTCTCTAAGTTAAAATACCTGAGCAGAAGGTTATTTGATCTGCAATTAAGGTACAATTTTATGAAGTGCTACATATATGCAATACATATATGCCACACTGTCATATGGAGTCGAAGCGTGGACACTAAGAGTTACCAGTTTGAGTAGACTTGAAGTATTTAATTACTGGGTATATACACGAATGTTAAGAATACTTTGTACATCTAGAAAAGCCCACAGGAGCTTTTTAATGAGTAATTTGACCCAGCATGAATCACATATAAAACAATACTATAATATGTAACTACAACTTTAACGAACTATCCGTCAATTTTTATCGGTAGATACAGGTGATTCATTGACCAAAACTAAGTCCGGGACAAATATGGTCCCCAATAACCATTTAAATATTTAAGACAAAGTGGAAGAACTTGTGGAGAAATATACGTATTTGGGTCACGAAATAAGAATCAGCAGGGATAACCAAACATGCGAAATCTAAAGACGAATTACCTTAGCGTAGGAAGCGTTTGGAAAACTTCGACACACTTAGAGCTAACATACTAATTAGCCTCAAAAGAAAAGTATTTGACCAATGCGTATTACAGGTCATGACCTATGGGGCGGAAACTATGACTCTAACCAAGACTAAGGCTTCGAAATTGAGAGTGACACAGAGACAAATGGAACGATCTATGTTGGAAGTGACGTTGCCGGACAGAATAAGAAACGAATATGTGCGAAGACGGACGAGTATTGCTGATGTTTTTTTTTTTTTATTGTATAATGGCTTTGGCATAGCCAATTAGCCAGATTGCTAATGTGGAACGCATAGCGGAACTGAAATAGAACTAGGCAGGCCATGTAACGAGAAATGTAACGAGAATACATGACTCATGACGGACGAGCAAAGTTATAGATTGGAGGCCAAGAGCAGACAGGCGTAGTAGACGAAGACCACCTACACGTTGTTCTCACGACATCAGGCGTATCACTAAAAATTGGTAACAAAGAGCACAAAATCGTGAAGAATGGAGGAGTTTAAGGGAGGCCTATGTCCAACAGTGGACGTGATAAATGAATGCTGGATGATGATAATGATGAGTCACAGGTAAGATAAACTTATCACTCACATGGGGAGAAGGACTTTTTGATTAAACATATTTGTACGGCATTTATAACTTAGGTAGGTAATACAAAAATAATGGCCTACTGCTTAATGCCATACAAAAATATTGGTAACAGAAGTAGGGAAGTTTTTTATTTTCGGAAAACTTTTTCCCCATTTTCGGCAATTTGATACAGTGCGGGATTCATACACAAAGTTTCAGATCGGTACATAGATTAATTTTTTTGCAACGCCGTATATTTCGGCTGAAACAGTGGCGAGAAATTTAAGATGCCACCCGTAATTTGAATACCCCTGTTTTGAGTACCGATAAGAATTGGTGGCATAGTTTCTAAAGTTGTTATAGTTCTTCACATTATGAGCAGGGAACATGAGCTTATTAAAAGCATGAAAAAGTGAAAAACTGCATTTTCATAAGCTCGTAATCGATAGGAAGATTTAGGGAGACGTGGACCAGGACAAAGATAGGGCTATTGGCTTAAATACATGAGATTTTATAGCCTTGAACTCAAAGGATTAGCTGAGAAAGACCCAAAACACAGAAGAGTTTGCCAAAAGTATTGCCGATCTTCGATAGGAAAAGGCACTCGAAGAAGAATAATGCCACAGGATGAGAATTTTTTGGGTAACGCCGAACTTTACACTCTGTGTTATTACTATTTAAAAAAAAATGGGAATAACCCACAATTAAAGGTTAAAGTAAGTTTTAGTTTTTAGTCATAGTTTTGTTTTTTTGTTACTTAGTGAAAAATTCTTCTAATAATTTAATTTTATCTGACTCATTTATATTGACAATTCAGACATACATTATACATTGTAAAGTAGACGACTTTAAAATGATATTGCCAATATTGTTGAGTTGCGCTCCTGGGACGACTTTACTTATAAGATAGTTCATACGATTACATGAAATCAACTTTAACTTAAGAATATCCGTCAGAAAAAATCATAGCATGTAATTCATCTTTAAAAAGACAAACACATGCCATGATGACAGTCAAATTCTCCTGTTAGTGATTCCATAAAAAATTATGAGAGAAAAACCAGGAAAAAAACCTCATAATACTATCCCGACATGGTTAAGTATTTGGTCGTGCATTTAGTTTACCTTCAATAAATACCAAATTCTGATTTTATAAATTTGTTATTTAAAAACCATAAATGATGTATCCTCTATATGTTACTGACTTAATAATACTGGAATTTTCTTTTTAATAACTTCCTCTTTCAATATGGGTAACCAGATGCTACTACATTCTGCCGAGGAATTTGCGATACAATTGGTCTCATTTAGCATAATTAGAGCCGCTTCTTTGATTTTTCTCTTTCAATAATTGTCAATAAACATACTTTAAACGTTTAATGGTGGCTTATTCCCATTTAATTGTCACAACAATATGATGATCTAGGATCTAGAGTATGTGACACAAAAATTCATATAATAGCAGTTTAGAAGTAAATATCTAGAAAACTATATATATATATATATATATATATATATATATATATATATATATATATATATATGTATAACTATATATATATATATATAATATATATCTATATATATATATATATCAATGCAATATTGATTTTGTTTGTTGCGATTCTAAATCTCGACTCTTTAAACCACTGATGAAACTCAATCAAGAATAAAAGAAAGACAGTTAAGATTTGATTTCACGTATAGTGCCTCTGTGTATTCGCTTACACTTTTACTGAAGCTCTAGATTTTGGTTTTGTCAATAGAAATTTTCGGATTTCTACTTTCGTGATTTATCAATCAAGAGTCTTTGAAATCTTAGGACCCTGGAACTTAAGGTTATCAAAATCTCAAGTAAATAACGGCAAACGGTTAAAGGGAAGTAACGGCTACAGAAAATGAAGAATAAGGTGTATATACTAAACACAAGAATACCCACAACAACCTTCTTTTCAAAATTAGTCATAGTTTTTTGTTTAGAGTCTTTTTTACGACAATGTATAAAGGAATATGGATTAAACTAGGATTAATACATCAGGGTGACGGGCTGGCACAAACATTGTTTAATTTAGCACTGGAATGCGTATTTAGAAAAACACATTAAGGTAGAAACAAAACACACATATCAATAAGTCATTCCAACTGGCAGCATATGCAGATGAATCAATATCATGAGTAGACTCCAAACAAGTACGAATACGTATACGGAACTTAAATCTAATGCTAAATAAATAGGTCTGTCAAACGAAAAAAATACTAAAATGTTATTAGAAAGTCGATCGGAGAGAATAACACGACCCTACCTGGCAGTTGACAACTTACAAGAGGTAGATAGCTTTATCTATTTAGGAGTCATCACAATTGATAACATTGACGATGCAAAGCTTAGCAGAAGAATCATCCTAGCTAATACGGTACACTTTCCTATGAGCCCGATATTTAAATTACGAGACGTAGATCAAACAACTGAGATACGAATATAGAAGACCATAATCGATAGTGAGCTATGAATGTGAAACTTGGGTGTTGACTCGAAAATTTATAAATCGTATGGACATCTTTGAAAGAAAGGTACTGAGACGAACACTAGGCCTTATAAATGAGAATAACAGGTGGCGAATCAGATACAATTATGAGCCTAGAGCGTCTTGAATGGGCAGGTCATATATTTAGAGTGGAAGAAAACAGGCTTCTAATAAAACTGTTGAATGCAAGAATGCAGGGTAAATGACCTATTGGAAGACCCAGAAAGTAATGGCTACATACCGTAACGAATCGAGAGGTTTGCTGAGGGAGGCCAGGGCTCGAATTGAGCCGTAGAGCCATAGAATGGATGGATGAATGAAGGAATTTGTAGTATTGTATTATTGATTTTATGAAAAGATGTAATACAAATCGCTATTACCAATATTTCACCTAAATCGCCGGTGTGTATCAAATCTACTGTTTATTTAATTTTTTGTAACCAACTCTACATTATGGAATGTCTTTAATGCTTTTAAGAGGTATTTAATCACAGGGTTAAATGTATTAAGAAATTAAATGAACTGAAGTAATTATAAAATAGTGGTTTAAGAAAAAAAATCTGACATTTACAGAATTAAAAAGGTATAAGAAGATGAAATAGATGTTTCGGCAACTTATTCATCATCATCTTTGGCTCGACAATCCTTTGTAGATCCTAGCCAGCTCTAAGATTAGTCACCATTCTACTCGGTTTCTGACAACGTGTTGCCATCTTCTGATCTCTAGTATCCCTAAGTCGGTCTCAACTCCATCTAATCACCTAATTCGCGGTCGACCTCTGCTTCTTCTTCCTATAGGTATTCCTGTCATTAGCTTTTTATTAACCATGTTGTCAGGCATTCGTATTATGTGCCCGGCCCATCTAAGTCACTGTGTTTTAATGAACGTTACATCAGGTTCACTAAGGAGTTGGTAAAAATCGAAATT